CAGAATCTTCAAAACCCTTTGGCTGTTCTACATATGCTTCTTCATTTAAAACTCCATTCAGAAATGCACTTTTGATATCCATCTGATACAGTTTGATTTTAAGAAAGCAGGCTATAGCAAGAAGTAATCTAATAGATTCAATTCTAGCTACTGGAGCAAAAGTCTCATCAAAGTCTATGCCCTCAATTTGAGTGTATCCTTTTGCTACTAACCTAGCCTTGTTTCTAACAACTGTACCTTTTTCATCAGTTTTGTTTTTGAAGATCCACTTAGTTCCTATTACATTTACATGGCTTGGTCTGGGAACTAAGTACCAAACATCATTCCTGATGAATTGATTCAACTCTTCATGCATTGCATTGACCCAGAATTCATCCTTCAGAGCTTCTGCAATATTCCTTGGTTCCACTGAAGACACAAAACAAGTGGTTCCAGTTAGTGCACATTCAGAAGATAAATTTGCAAATCTTACCATATCTCTGTAGTTTACTCTCTCTTTTCTTCTGGTCCTTATTCCATCAAAGATATCTCCCACTACTTGAGTAGATGGGTGATTTTTCTGGATTCTGCTTGATGGTTCCTTTCTGCAGACATCGAAGGTTGGCTGTAATTCAGTCTCTGTAGGATGTGCTGAGTCAGATGTGGTGACACTTGGCTCAACACCTTCTTCTCTTAAGACTGGACTGTTTGTGTCTGGGCTCTCTGTGACAGAAGTGTCTTCTTCTGTTGTTTCTCTTTCAGCAATTAAGTCATCAACTTCATCTTCAGCTGTTTTACTGCGGAGATCAGCAAAGTCATCAAATACCACATTTACAGATTCAATAATGATTCGAGTTCTTAGATTGTATACTCTATAAGCATGACTGTTATTAGAGTATCCCATAAATAAACACAAATCACTTTTTGAATCAAACTTAGCTAGATGATCTCTATCATTTAGAACATAGCAGACACATCCAAACACATGCATGTATTCTAGATTAGGTTTCTTACCATAAAGAATTTCATATGAAGTCATCATAGATCCTAATCTTAGATACACACGGTTTGAGATGTGACAGGCTGTGTTGACAGCCTCAGCCCAAAACCTCTTAGACAGATTTTTTGCACTCATCATCACCCTAGCCATTTCTTGGATGGTTCTGTTTTTTCTTTCAGCAATGCCATTTTGCTGAGGAGTTTTTGGAGCAGAAAATTCATGCTTTATACCCTTTTTATTACAAAATGCAAGAAATAAAGCATTCTCAAATTCTTTTCCATGATCAGATCTTATCCTACGTACAGAAACTTGAAATTGAGTTCTAACAAACCTGTACAAATTTTTGAATACATCAAAAGTGTCTGATTTTTCTCTTAAAAAGTACACCCAAGTATACCTTGAAAAATCATCAACACACACAAAGACATATTTTTTACCACCTAGGCTTTCTACCTCTATAGGACCCATAAGATCCATATGTACTAGTTCAAAACAGATAGTGGTACCAACGTGTTGCAACACTTTGTGTGGTACTCTGGTTTGTTTTCCCTTCTGGCACATTCCACATATAGGAATATCCTTGATCTTGAGATCTGGTACTCCTCTTATAGCATTGTACTTGTTGAGCAGCTTCAGATTCTTGAAATTTGTGTGGCCTAGTTTCTGATGCCACAGCTCTACTTCACTTACTCTTGAGCTCTTGCATGAGATGGTGTCACCTGTTTGATAGCAATTATCCATTGATCTGGAACCTGTAAGTACACAATGATTTTGATTATCAAACACAGAACAACAGTATTTATCAAATTCTACACGTAGATCATCATCACACAATTGACTGATACTGATGAGGTTTGACCCCAATCCTTCAACATGTAACACATTTGAGAGTTTTGGAAGCCCCTCAATACTGAGTGTTCCACGTCCAACCACTTTGCCTTTAGCTCCTCCTCCATAGGTTACGCGTCCTCCATTAAGTGTGTGGTAGTTTGATAGAAATTCCTTGGTTCCAGTCATGTGCCTAGAGCATCCACTATCAAAGTACCATGAACCTGAAATGTTAGCATTTAAAGAGGTGTATACTGCCTTGCACAAAAGTTTACCTTTGGGAGTCCATATTTTACACTCCTTTTTGGTAGATTCTACCTTTTTCTTTGAGGTGTTCCTTGAAGTGTTGTGGATTATTTTATACAGCATTTTGTCACTGCTGAGTTTTTCACAAAATGGACAAATGTGTCCTGGTGAGAAACAGTAATGACAAACATAACCTCTTATTCTGGAATCTGGAGTGGTGACTGTGGACTTCCTGCAATCCTTTCTGTTTGCACCTTTTTCTTTTACAAAGACAATTTCTTTCTTCTTAACTGGCTTCATTTGTTTTTTGAACCCTAGCCCTTCATGTTTGTAGTGCTTTTCCATTGACACAATCTCTTCGAGTTTAGTTGTGCCAGTGTTCATCCTCTTGATTGCTAGAGTTGCCTTTTTTAGTTCTTCTTTCACCTTTGCCAGTTCAAGATCCTTCTTGGTGATTCCAACCTCCAAGTGTGTGATTGTTTCTTTGAGGGAGGAATTTTCCTTGTTGGCTGCATCTAGAGCTTGAGTCTTCTTCTCCAGGTCAAGAGTAAGTTTTCTACACATTTCTTCCTCATCACTAGTTGCTTCAATGCTGGATTCTGCTGCATTTAAAGAAATAGAGTTTAAACATGTATAATGATCAGTGTTTAACTCAGAAATTTCAGTTACTGAAAGTGTTTCAGAAAGTGTTGCAGCATCCAGGGAGACTCTTTGTGATTCTGTTTCAGAAGCATTTCCAGTGATATATCTGACAGAGAGAGCTTGTTTAGTGGATTGCTGTTCCTCTGTTTGTTCAGGTTGCTCTTCCTCCTCATCACTGACAGCACAAATCAAACTCATTCCTCTTCTTCTTAAGGTATTTGCACACTCATTTGCATAATGTCCAAATCCTGAACAAGCCCTGCATTTAATGTGATCTAAGTTAGGTGGTTCAGAATTTGAACGAACAAATGAAGAATTTTTAGAAGTGTTCTGAGAAGGTGTTTGAGAAAATGTTCTCTGTGAAGTAGATCTGTTTCGGGGCTGAGTTTGTCGATTTTGCGAAGAGCCATCTGGAAATAATTGTCTGGGCTTGATTCCACCTCGCCTGTATGCCCTATTGAATTTCTGAATTTGGAATGCAACATTGTTGAGACATTCCTCTGCATCATCATCAAACTCCGGAGCAACATCTTCTTTCTCCAATTCTGCCTGAAGTGCATTTGAGATAGCCTTTCCTTTCTCCTTTCTTTGATCTTCGAAGTTCATCTCTCTGGACTTGAGACTTCCAATTAATTCGTCCAGCCGTAGAGATGATGTATCTTTAGCCTCCTCAATAGCAGTAACCGTCATGCTGAACCTTTCTGGAAGAGTTCTCAATACCTTATTTACCAGTGTCTCGTTGCTTAAAGGACCACCTAAGGATTGAAATTCATTAGCCAAATCAATCAACTTCTCATTGTACTGAGAAATTGTTTCAGTTTCCTCCATTCTCAGTCTCTCAAATTTGGAAGAGAGTAATCTGAGCTTGGTTCTTCTGACACTATCTGATCCTTCACAATGTAGCTGTAGAACCTCCCATGCATCATTTGCAGAAGTGCATACTGAGATCAATTTAAACATTGTTAAATCTACTGAATTGAAGATTGCATTCAACGCCTTGGAGTTTTGATTCGCATTTGATAGATCATCTGTTGTCCACCGTAACTCTGGTGTTGGAAATACATCCCCATCTGCATCTGTGATTGTTGGTGCCTTCCATCCAGTGAGAATGGATCTCCAGGCTCTCTCATCAATGGCTTTGATGTATGCCCTCATCTTGACTTTCCAGTAGGTGTAGTTTGTGCCGTCGAGTACAGGAGGTCGCATAGAAGCAGTCATCTGAGTATCCATCACGAATTCGTTTCTGAAAAAGAAAAATAGGAACTAACACTTAGTATACGTCAAGTGTTGGCTCTGATACCAATTGAAAGAATTTATGGTCCCGAATTCGTATTATACAGAGATGTTATCTTAAGTGTTATGACACTTGAACAAACATGCAGCGGAAATATAAAGATAAAAGAACAATACTCAGAATTAAAAATGTTCACAAGTAAAGACTTGTGAACTTGCCCTTTACAGGACGAAAAATATATTAAAATCAGTATTCCAAGAATACAAACAGAAGAGTGCGAAAACTTCTTCCTTATGAATGAATCTTTTTCAAGATCATTCTTACAATCAAATCTAGATACTAAAAGAAAAATATTAAAAATTCTAGATTTCAAAGAATGTACTCATAAGGAGTACGTAAAACAGATCCTAGAAAACAATCTAAAATTCTCGAGATTAAAACTTTAGCTCTCTTTTGTTCTCTCGAAATCTATGTCATTCTTGAGTCTTGAGTTTGGTATTTATAGACTTGCCAAGCTTCCACTCCTCAGCCCATGACCTGCAAGAAAACCAACCACAAGAGCACTCAAGATAATGGGTTAGTGGGTTAGTTAGGAAGTTAAGATAAATTCCATAATTAAATCCACTAAGCACTACTTAACCCTACTTAGCCCACTAACTAAGATTTAGTTTAGAAGTTAAGAAAAGTTAAAAACACATTGTGAAATTAATTCACGTGTTTCAGAATATATAGTATATACGATCATTATACATTTTAAACAAATCAATTGATATTCTTAACGTTTGGTATTAAATAAAGTGAATAAACGAATTTAATACCAAAGATTTAGAATAACATTGTTATATTTTGAAATATATAAAATCAGTTGTTTTTTTTAATCAATTGATTAAACTTAACTTATGTTATTCAATTTATTAGAATAATCATGATAAAGTTTGTATTTTAATTAGTATATAATTTAAAAGGCTAAATCAATCGTAAAATTTATTGTCACCGGATTCAGTGAAGAAAAAATAACTGGTTAAATAATAACATGAAATTCATGTAGTATTATTTTCAATATGGTAAATAATGGGGAGTACATTACTCTACACATAGTAGAAAAAAAATAGTGTCAATTTTCGCAATATTGTAAATTCGAACATTTCTTTTTCTTTTTTTACAGATAATATTAATATATAATATTAAATTAGTAAAAAAAACATATTATATGGTCATGTTCATGTAAAATGTATCATATCAAATAATTTATTCTGCAATATTTTGTTAATATAAATCCAAGTTTATGAATTAAAATACAAAATTTCCGTAACACCACCAATCACATGCAATTATAATAAGGGAAGATTTTAAATTAAATTTAACTAATTTCAAATTAAATTAGTTATAAAATTTTAAAAAAGTTATTTAGAGTTTCCAAGAAAGTTGATATATTTAGAGCATTTTATAAATGGTAGGATATAAATATATTAATAAAATAATTAAATATATTTAATTATTTTAATTTTGTAAAATGATGACATGTTTTTTGATGATTTATTTCCACCAATCAATTCGCCACTTGGGATGAAATTGAGACATATCACCAATTAAAATTGCTAAATGTCAATCAATTAGGTGTGGAATTCAACTTTTATATATTATATAGATTCTACTATTCAACTCATAGTATATCTTGAGAAGGGTATGTGACAATGATGTCCAACTAATCATCATTTTCATAACTTATCCCATGACTAATTTTATTAATTGAAAAATACTATAAAGTGTAACAAATCATGCCTGTGACTATAGTACCAAACCCTCGTTTATAATATAATAATTTATGATTATGCATACTAAATTGCTAGGCAATTAATAAACAAGAAAAAATAGAATCATGATTGACCCTCCTATTAATTATTTGACAAAGTAGATATATGACCAAACACTTATGTTTAATTGTGTTTGAAAAAAAAAAAACACTTATGTTTAATTGTCCTTATCGTATTGTTAATGATTTTGTAAATGGAAGTTTGGTCTCATTTACTTCTTGATGTAGCTAGATGAAGTGTCGTGTGTGAATGATTTATAAGTCGTATTAAATCATGTATCTTGAAATAATAAAAATTAAGTGTCGGAGTGTAATCGTCGGGAATTTCATGGCGTGTCACATAGCGTGTTAAGTGGTTTTGCGGGAAAGACGAACAAGTACCACATTCTTAGGTCAACCCGAAGCTCGTGGCATTTGAATATGCGTTCTTAAACAACTCTCCAATTCGACCTTTTGAACTACTCATTTCAAGTGATCCCCAATCAGGTTGGCTATGAATCTATTTTTCGAAATCTTATATATAAATTGAGTTAACGCTAGAGCAAACCTAGGGTAACCCTAATGGTATTTTTATAATTTTTTTTTCTCCACTAATTTTTTAACTAACTTTTCTTTTTATTTCTTTTTATTTCTTACCCCAAAGGAACGGTTCCACTTTTTTTGGGTTCTTTCCACCTACACCCGGTGATAAATACCGGTATCGGGTGGGTCTTCTACTGATACGTGTTATATTTAATTATTTATTATATATTCCTCATCTTAGGTTAAGTTTTAGGGGTTTTAGATAAATACAAAAAAGTACATGTGTCAGCAGAAAACCCACCCGTAAGATCGAAGGAGCCATTTCTTTGTTATTCTCGTGAGCTGATATTCTCGTGAGTTACCTATTCTATGATATACGTTTTTGAAACTTTTGTCGCGTTAATCCTTGCACTGCTTATAAAGAAACTATACGTATTATTATTCTATTATCGACAGTTAATATTTTCCCGATGCAGATAAGCGAGATCCTAGACTCGGAGTTATTGGGCGAAGGGCTTATTCCGACTCTACAACATGCACATGATAACCTATTAGTCGAAAACCCGCTCACCGTTCCTTACAGAGCAACAACTTACGGTCAGGTAATAAATACATCATCGTTACCGTTTTCTCCAACATTATTACACTTGTAAATATTTGTTCGTCGAAGTTATTAAATTCCCGTAATTTTCTTGATTACCTTTCAGCTGGTCGAGTGCACATATTTACGGGATATGCATGATTTAGTTAATAGAGAAGCAGAATTATCGGACGGTATTCGTCTTGTTCCGAGTGGGATGGCTGGTATTTTAGGCGTCAAAAAGCAGCAGCAATTTGCAATGCATTGTGATGCACTTAAAGAAGAAATCAAACTGGTAACGATTACGCAATTAACCGAGAGAATATTCCTTCAACATAAACAAATGTTAGTTATTCAATCGAATTAATATATTATCTTGTGCAGCTTTCGGAGCCTTTTAAAGTTTTCGATTTTGATTTCTGGAGACGGCCGGACAGTTCTTCTGAAACCGAGATGCATATAAAGACTACGAACGATGGTACAGTTCATGCTATCATCTCATGGTACACGATTCAGCTCATAGGTCATTGTTTTTCGTGTATTATTCAGTTTTATTTTTCTTTTTCCGTTCGTCTCTGTGTGTTTTGTGTGTGTATTTTGTACGACGAGAATGTACTCAGTAGGTCGAGTTACGAACGTTTTTTCGTCTTTCAGGTGGTTGCTTCAGCTAGACAGTGAAGGAACAATCTTCTATTCCACAGAGCCGAATTGGATACGATGTCCTGATGATGTAAGAGAGTTGGAATCATCTTCCAATAGTAAGTTCATTATTATAATTATTAAAAAGTAAATTTATTTTTAATTATCGTCTTTCTTGCAATGAATTAGTGATGTAATAATAATATTGTACGTTGTGCTTAATTAGGTTCTGATAATTGGTGTGACCATTGGAAACAAAGTGTTTGGTTCCCACAAAGCGTAGATCTGCATGTCTTAAAAGATGAAGAGGTTCACTTACACGCTTTACATACCGAAACGAGCATCTCATATGACTTCAAAACTTTAAACGAAAAGCGACAGGTGGCGCATGTTGATGCCTGTACCGACGATTTTCAGATTGTTCTGTCACCAGAAAGAAACGCATTATACGGAGATAGTAGTTGGAGATTTTTAATGCTTAACGCTATTGAAAAAGCTGTAAGATTCTTCCATACTCGATAAAATATAATCGGCTTGATCCAAGTATTATTAGCTGTTTAATAATTTATTTTATTTTTCCCATTTTCAGTTGCGTCAAAGAACCGATCCCTTATGTTTAGTTGCGGACGATAGTATTTTCTTGGCAATTGCTATTGCCCGTCTTTCAAAGAGTTCGAATGTGATTCCTTTATTTCCGGGACTTGGAAAGAAGGGTTTGCAATATCTGCACAAGGTTTGTGCAGCAAATAGCTTCACTATGGATCGCATTGAAAGCATATCGAAGAAGGATTTGCTATCTACAATGCAAGATTCACACCAAAGAAAGGTAAATTAAACTTACGTTTAGATATTTCAGTTACTTCGAATAATTAATTGTCGAGCTGATTTACGGTATTTTGAAATGTCTTCTTGACTATTTATCATGGGTTGTCTCTCGTTTTTTTATTTATTTATTTATTATTGTTATGTATAGCTATTGGCTTTAAACATAAAAGGTGCATTTTCGTTTTTTCAGATAAACTTATTGGTTGCGGAACCGTTTTACTATGGAAATGATAATGCACTTCCATGGCAAAATCTGCGATTTTGGTAGGTGTTACCTAATTCATGATCCAATTTTCCAATGCATAATTATCAGGAAATTGCATAGTCACGTTTCTCGTCTTCATAATTTCATAGGAAGGAAAGAACTTTGCTGGATTCGATTCTATCAAAAGATGTGCTAATAATGCCTTGTAAAGGACTGTTGAAAGTTTGCGCAATGTACCTACCCGTAAGTTGCCAAGGAATATTCTCTCACTCGAATAATATCTATACTATACCAAAACCTAAAGACATCATTTTTTTTCTTCGATTTTCTGCAGAACCTATGGAGAAGTCGATGTTGTCTGAAAGAAGTTGAAGGGTTCGACCATTCAATCGTAAATACCACATTGGGAGCATGTGGAGATTTGCCCCTTACTGAAGAAAGTCCTTTTCTGCCCTTTTACGTTTGGCAGTGTGGAGAAACCAAGGTATTCTTGTTTTATTATTACGATTTTCGATCCGTTGTTCTTTTTTCTTCTTCTTAATAATGTTATTGTAATTTGTGTTTCAGATACTCAGTGAAACGGCCACCGTCTTGGAGTTTGATTTTTCAAAACCAATGAGCTCGTGTTCTGGGAAAACTCCGGTATTTTATGAAACAATAACCGACTTGAATATGTATTTTTGTCTGATAAGATATGAGCTTGAGCTCGACTCGATTAGAACAAAAATTATAAATCAAGTATAACAAGAATGACGTTATTATATATGTATGCATGTATCTATTTTTTGTTTTTCTAAAGCTCGATAAAATTTCCAATAAGCTTAAACAATCTCGGTTCGGTTCATTTATGCCACTACTTGTTTATCAGATTGAATTTAGAGAATCTGGAATATGCCATGGATTTGTGCTTTGGATTGATTGGGTTCTCGAAGCGGAGGATAATACCGTTTTGTCAACAGGGCCAGGTATGTTTTTTTTTTTGGATGAATAAATTAATACGCTCAGTGCTAGTATTTTTATTTAAACATTCTAATTTTAATCAACTCGAAATTTGGTGTTGTTTCCTTTGGTAAGTGTACGTGTTTTCATGAAGTTTGATTAATACTATACTGTGAATATTTAAGATAAACGACATTGGAAACAAGCTGTGAAGCTTCGGGAAAATTACAGTTTATGTCCCTAAACTTTACCACTAAAACGATTTATGTCCTCAAACTTTTCCATCCACGAAATATGTCCTCCAACTTGCCATTTTTTAGCAATTTATGTTTTGCCGTCAATTTCATCAGTCATCTTTGACGGAAATATCACGTGTGGCGCACGTGATGTTGATATGGCTGTTAAATGTGACGTGGAGTGACTTATGGCAGTCAAATGTTGATCCGACACACAAACCAGTCGACATCCAATTTCTAACTCACTCCTTCAATTCTCAATTCTCACTCCACTCTTCATCCCATAAACACTAGCTATCCAATTCCAAAATATCTTTCAATCGCGTAAACCTACTCCCAAAATGTCCAATCAAATCTGTGTTAGATATTTTATCGTATATACATACGAATTCCCAAGAACCAACATGCTTGAATCAACGAGAATTAAACAGAAACATAAACACGGAAGCGTACCTTACATCATGGAATCAAATCTTCGAATCTCCACTGGATTCGGGACAGGTCTTCCAAAGAATCCGCAGTTCCTTATTTTTCTCTCTAACGATGGATTTTAGAAGAGACGGAATGATTGCGTTTCTTTGGGGACCACGACCCTTTATATAACTGTAGAGTCCAGTTATATTATAATTGTGATTCAGCCCCATCAATAAATCACAATTAAGCCCTAATTGTCTCTACACATTAGGCCCATAATTATAGTCTAATACCCATAAGTCCAACCCAATAATCTTTATTATATCACAATTAATTTGGACTTTCTTTTAGATAGCCATACACATTTACTTCACATATGTGAGCCCACATAATTATTGAAATAATTCCAACAATCTCCCACTTGGGCCACATATGCTATATATCTTATAAATGTGTATACCTTATGAGCTCAAATATTGCTATCATATAAAAAAAAGGTATTGCTTACAATCTCGTCCATTGACCATACTAATATAGGACTAAAGAGGCTTTCGTCACATTGATCGTGTCTAAACCCAACAGTAATCACATATACCAATATAGCCAAACGACATAGATCAAATCATGGTGTGTAGCATGGAAATTACATACTAATGTGATCTTAACATGCCTATTTCCAACTGGTCCTACTTTAAACTTTATTGAGACCAAACCTTTACATAATTGTACAAAGTGTAGCCAAATGCTTTATTTCTGCAGAAAACCAATACACAAAATTGTGTCCAAACATATCATAGAGCTACCAAAATGTATTTATATGTACACATACGTACAAACTCCCACTGAACCAAAATATCCTTAAATGATATAACACCTACATGAGCAATGCTCATGAATACCTCATGTGTTAATCCTTTAGTAAGCGGATCCGCAATTGTGGAGTTTATCTTAATATGCTCTATGTACTGTTCACTTTGTACCTTTAACAACAAAGAACTTTCACAAGCTCTTGTTGTTGTTCGGAAGTATAGCTGTTAAATATTGTCACCGTATAACTTTAATAAAAATCAACATGTGCAGCCTAATGACAAGTGTTTCTAGCTATATTCAAAATAAGATGCCAAAATTTACCATAAATTCTTAACCATCGTGAAAAGAGCTTAAAGTGTTTTCTTAACACCCATGACGAAATAGCTCAATCACTTAGGTCTACATTAACCAAAATGGATCTATACTTTATACACGTCATAAAAATCAAAATCATGAATAAACCACACGATCTCCCAAAATATATGATTTTGATAAATGAGCATATGTATAAAACTTACATTCCCTATAATTACTGTATAACCCATTTGGCTGCTTTGCTAAATGATCCACTTTATAGGGTTATTCAAATATCTGCCTAACTTTATGCACGTCTTAACCGAATGCGCACATTCTTTTAAAATATTTATTGGGCATTGAAATGAGACTAAACAAGCCTCATTTATTGTGAGATTATCTCCCACTGATCCTTGGGTATGTACAATCATTAACTTTATTTATCTCAAAATGCATATGAGATAATTAGCTCAGGATTGTAACATCATTAACGGGAATTTTAATTTCATTAATGGACTACTTTAGTTTGCAATCAATATCCTTCAAATCTTTAAATATTAAGATTTTATGGTTGCACTTTATTGTTCCATAAACGTTACCATTTGAGAAACATATTCCTTGTGTCCATAAATTTCTTAATAGAGTCGATATGAGTGAAATCTTTAATGACTAAACGTATCATATATCTTTCAATATTGCCCATTTGAATTACATTTGGTCTCAATTATTTGTAACCAAAGAAATTCACACCTTATGGCATTTCGATAAGATCCTAATGTCTTGTCATTCTAAATTTCAACTCATCTTTAATGCTTTATTATTTTAAGGTTGTTGAGTTTGCTCTTTAAGTAACAATTATCAAGACTTGATTGGGGAATTGTTCAACATTGTCTTATCAAATCTCCAAATCTACTTTTCAAACAATGACAAGTATAAAGACATGTACATTGTCAAAAGCAGTATTAGGAATCGAATTGACTTATCTTTAGAGACAATGTCTATAATCTAAATTTCTCCCCTCAAACTCAACATCCTTAAAATATTTTAAATTTCCCCTTTTAAAACATAACATACTGCAGCACTTAATGTTTCTCCTAAATATACCTTAGTGAAGAACAATGACTTATCATACTTCCTTGAATGTCATTGAATGTTCTATTCTTGAATTTTGTACCATTTTAAATTGCTTATGCAAGATTTTACTGTATGAGACTTTTACTTAAATTATAGGTCAAATTTTGAATTATGAAATATACCAAACTTAATGTTTTCAAATGAACAAATTAACTAAATTTGTTCAAGAGAAAATCTAAATCCATCTAATGACGGTACCAAATGTCTATTTCATAATTCAAAAGAAAACCTAAGAGTCCTCATAGTCTCAATCCCAAATCTTACATAACCTTTATAGATGTATATCTTTCAACATCAATTAAATGTTGGTTATGTGAATAACCCTTTATATACACATTTATGTGAACAGTGTAACCCAGGATCTATTCACTAAATGTGTCTAGGTACAAAGTCAAAATATATTTTAGAACAGATTAAAGTGAGAAACAAGCATAATTACGTTATTCAACGTACCTCAGATGTAAACTGCAATTATAATGATTTATCTTAAGATGTACTAGTCAAATTAGCACTTAGTCTTTTCTCCCTTAATTATTTATTCTTCGTGTGAACGGTCAAAGTTTTATTATTTATGTTTTACAACAAACCTTATATTGACCATTCACGTAGAAAAATAAATTAAACCATATTCACTTTCAAGTCAGCGAAACCACACTAACTGAAGTGCTATAACTCAAAATGAGATTAGACTATTACTTAATATGCTTACTTATGTTCCTTTTCTTTATACCTTATTTAAACAATAGATATCAAAATCTAATTTGTTGCAACTTTATCGTTTTAAAATAAAACGTATCCTTACTATCTTTAAGGAACCTTCTAGTACGTAGCCCCAAATTAAACCTTATGCCCCCAAAAAATTATTTAAAATGGATGCACCTAATGATCTTAAATTTTATAAATAGAACGACGATATACTCTAGGTTCTTCTATTGTTCTATCCAAAAACAAATTCAAGATCTATGCACCATAATAGGTAATAATAAAAATATTTGTGCAATTAAGCACAAAGTGTTATAGGCAGATAATGTGTAAGCATATAAATAAATTAAATAGAGAACGTAAATAAAACCAATATACTCACATTATAATCCAAATGTGACTTTTCAATTTTAAATAATTATGGAGTACATCTCAAGATGCCTAGCACAACATTAATATCATGTCTTTGGACAATAATATTAACTGTAAGTGGCACTCTCGTTGTAGTAATCAAGTGCTGACGATAAATCCTGTCAAATAATGAGCCCATCTTTGGATGTCACTTATTATTCACATGGAAACTTAACAATTGTCACGCACTTATTACCACAGTTGCATATGTGGTTCGGCCAAATATCAACCTACCTTTGGGTATAATTAAATATTCGCATGAATTCACATATACATAACATCTTAACATTCTCAATAAGCTAATCTCCACAGAGAGGTCACTTTGGTGGCTTCATGCTTCAATCAGTTATCTTAAAAGTCAGACAACTTAATAACAAGTCATTAGATGTACCCAAAAAATTATTTAGAAATTTAAAGTCGTTGTTGAACGCCAAGGCTCTAATGACATCACCTAAGCGCTAACAGGCTGTATCCAACACTAAGGTTGCCTCACTGTATTGTTTTCGAATCAAATTCAGCAATATGGTTATTCATAAAAATGAGTATGAATTGAAAACATCGAATCCATCTTTATTTTGAATGTGAGCTAAAGATGGTGTGGGGCTCACAATTCAATCTTATTTAGATTTAGTGGCCAAAATAATTTTTTAACCAATAAACCTAACCTTATATGGATTGAACTAAATTAATAAACTTAATTAGACTTAAATAAAAGACTTGAGTCAAATATCGAAAAAGTCAATCCTTATTTGGTTAAAAATAACCACTATCCATATTTTGACTTAATTACGATGAAATGACAATGGATCAGAAGCTAATTAAAAATTAATTTGTATCCTTAATTTTGACCCATTACTCAAAAATTTAGTCTAAACGGCATAAACTTTATCATCTGAAAATTCCCCAAATTAGCCTTAGAAAACCGAATTTGAAATTCAAAATGAATTTCACTTTATTGACCAAACAAAAACTTAAATGAGTTTAAAATAATTCACATATTAGTTTGGTCCCTCAAAATAATTGAAATATTTAAACGGCCCCAAAACCTTAAATTAACCATTTTATTCCTTAAAAAATTGCACTTGCCCCAAAACCAGAAAATCTTTCAACTTAAAGGACTGAATTGAAATTTCGAAAGAAAAACCTTTGAGAGAAAAGGGACCTAAGATTCAGAAATACTTGATTTGAGATTTATAATATATTTTCGAAAAATATGACTGTTTTGAGAGAAACTTTAAAAGCGGGGACTGAAATGCAGTTTTCAGAAACATTGAGGGCCCCGAAACAGATTTTTTTTTTTTTTTTATTCTTTCAAATTGACCCCGGCCCAAAATCAGGCATAACCAAGATACGGGCCAAATCGAAATATTGCTAAATATCTTAAACTTAAATTAGGGAACTGAATTGCAATTTTCCGAAA